GAAACACAAGGAAAAGAATTCTGGCAAAATTAGTAAAGACAGCAGCCGGAGCACAAGGCTCCAAAAGGTCAGAGGACTGACCCATGGAGCATCACACTCCGGCAGCTGCCCACTAAGCCCCCTCACGGCGACAACGAGCCAGAAAGGGAAGGGGTGCGACCAGAGAAGGTTAATGTGATATCAGAGGAACAAGTGGTGTGTCTGGTGCCGTTCTTAAATAGATGAGTGGTTCAGGTCTGTCTTCAGCGCCGCCTGCTCGCTATGTTGTGATTTGGGGGCTACAGACCTGTCGGCTTCCTGTTTCTCTATACTCATACTGGCCTCATGAGACAATGTCTTATGAGACTCATGAGCCTCAGAATGTCAGTTTTCCCAGGTCACATTCGTTTCACTTACATTAATTGAACTTTATTCAACTGTACTCTCAAGACCATACTCCTGAGCTTTAAAGGTTGACATAAAATAAAATAATAAAATGTATAATATATTGGGGGGGGGGTTGGAGCAGACAATATGTGAGTGCACGCATGTGTCCCACATAATATATATATATATATATATATATATATATATATATATATATATATATATATATATATATATATATATATAATATATTGTGATGGGAAAGTGTAGGAGTGTAGATGTTCGGCAGTCCTCCTAATGGCTGGTGTCAATGCCTTTCACATTTACAAAAAAAAAGAGACTGCTTGGCTGTTGTCTGTGTTGAGTAAGGGAAGACACACAAAACACATAGCATGAACAATGAAACTTTAATTAACTGGAAAGCAAATTTAAAAACAGACAATCTCTTGGCTATGTACAGTGCAAACAAACAAGTCATAAAAATTAAGAACAGGGATAAATTACTCTAGGAATAATATAAAGACAAAATGACATAAACAGGTGCTGAGAATATAGCGCTAGCTGGGAACCTCCACTAATAAACAGGACGTGTATCAGTTGGTTGTTCACAGCTTGAGAGCACAAGGATATTCTGACTTCAATGGCTGGTTCAAGCCCAGACATCGACTTAGGTAGAGGGCGCTGAGGTGTGGGTGTGCAGACTGCGGGTCACCAATCAGAAGAAGAACGACTGGAATGGTAGTTTGCTGGTTGACAACGGGCGAGCTGGCATGGAGGGAGTGTGGAGTGGGGGTTTAGGGTACGTTTTGCCTCCTGGTCAAAACGTTTTGTGCTACTGGTAGACGTATCTTGAAGGTAGCATCTTATTCTTGTATATGTGTAAGTAACTTTATGTAGAGAAGAGCAGGCTCAATCTCTCTTGAAAGAGATTATCGTCACAATATATATATATATATATATATATATATATATATATATATATATATATATATATATATATATATATATATATGTCGTACCTAGTAGCCAGAACGCACTTATCAGCCTACTATGCAAGACCCGATTTGCCTAATAAGCCAAGTTTTCATGAAATAATGTTTTTAAGACTACCTAACCTACCTAACCTAACCTAACCTAACTTTTTCGGCTACCTAACCTAACCTATAAAGATAGGTTAGGTTAGGTTAGGTAGGTTTGGTTAGGTTCGATCATATATCTACGTTAATTTTAACTCCAATAAAAAAAAATTTACCTCATACATAATGAAATGGTTAGCTTTATCATTTCATAAGAAAAAAGTTTGAGCAAATAGATTAATTCAGGAAAACTTGGCTTATTAGGCAAATCGGGCCCTGCAATCGTTTTCCGTCACTTGTCCCTCGATAGAATTCTTGGCGACACGGATACATTTGATATCGTTCGCCTTATGCTTTTCTGTTCTCGTATTGGCATCCTTGGTGATATTTAGCGCCCTCTGATTATCCCGCACATTTGATGGTGCGTCATAGCCTTCCCGGTTAGGTGCCTTCTTTTGATAATTACTTACTTACCACCACGTGTGGGTCTCCGTCCTCTTACAAATTACCTTTTAATTTAGCCGTTTGCTCATATGGCCGAAAACTGACGTATTTTCAAAATGGAAAAAAACAGGATTTTTTTTAAAACAGCAGTAAGTTAAGGGTCCTCTAGTAGGGCAAGGAATTCTTCTAAAGTTTTCTAAACGTCATTAAAAACGTTAATTGAAAGTGCCCTCTCCTAACCTAGCAGACAAAGCTGGAGGACCCAAACAGAAAACGGGACAGTACGTCACTTTCGTGAGTCGATTTCATTTCGTATTACGTCAGTTTTTGGCCTTAGAGCGCATACGAGCGAAAAGCGACGTTATTTTTAAGAGGACGGGTTGGTAGACTAACAGGGTGTGTTGTGGTGCAGGTCGCCGCCGCTGGACTCCATAGAGGACCTGCTGAAGAGCACAGTGAGGCCGGCTCTCCGCAGCAACAATATCATCTACGAGAACCTGGTAAGTCTCAAGTAACCCATGACCTTACACATGACACCCCTGCCCTCTCGTAAGTAACACGCCTTACATCTAGTAACTTAAGTTCAACAATAACTAACACAAGTCCCCCATCAAGTAACACATCAAGTCTTAAAGCAAATACGACGCCATTCAATAATTATCACGTCTTCATGAGCAAATATATTAAGTAGCACATACCCTATATCATGTAACACATACCCTATATCATGTAACACATACCCTATATCAAGTAGCACATTCCCTATATCAAGTAACACATTCCCTATATGAAGTATTATACATAATGTTTTAAAACCATACGTCATAGAACAAGTAACACGATCTGAAACATGTAACACAAGTCACACAACAAGTAGCACACGTACTACAAGTAACACAAGTCACACAACAGGTAGCACACGTACTACAAGTAACACAAGTCACACAACAGGTCACAAACGTTACTACAACAAGCAATATCTACACTCGAGCAAGTAACTCATGTACTACAGCTAGTAACACATAGACTACACCAAGTAACACACTACAACTTGTAACACATGAAAACACATGTAATGTGTTACATATGTTACGTGTAACACATGAAAACACATGTAATGTGTTACATATGTTACGTGTAACACACGTAACACATGAAAGTAATACATATGACAACAAGTAACATTACAACAGGTAACACATACTCTACAACAGGTAACACATACACTACAACAGGTAACACATACTCTACAACAGGTAACACATACACTACAACAGGTAACACATACTCTACAACAGGTAACACATACACTACAACAGGTAACACATACTCTACAACAGGTAACACATACACTACAACAGGTAACACATACTCTACAACAGGTAACACATACTCTACAACAGGTAACACATACACTACAACAGGTAACACATACTCTACAACAGGTAACACATACTCTACAACAGGTAACACATACACTACAACAGGTAACACATACACTACAACAGGTAACACATACTCTACAACAGGTAACACATACTCTACAACAGGTAACACATACTCTACAACAGGTAACACATACTCTACAACAGGTAACACATACTCTACAACAGGTAACACATACACTACAACAGGTAACACATACTCTACAACAGGTAACACATACTCTACAACAGGTAACACATACACTACAACAGGTAACACATACACTACAACAGGTAACACATACACTACAACAGGTAACACATACTCTACAACAGGTAACACATACTCTACAACAGGTAACACTCTACAACAGGTAACACATACTCTACAACAGGTAACACATACTCTACAACAGGTAACACATACACTACAACAGGTAACACATACACTACAACAGGTAACACATACACTACAACAGGTAACACATACACTACAACAGGTAACACATACACTACAACAGGTAACACATACACTACAACAGGTAACACATACACTACAACAGGTAACACATACACTACAACAATTAATACACGACTTACAACAAGTAACACAGGTACTGCAACAAGTAAAATATACTACAGCTCTTGTCAACCCGTGCCGGCAGACTCTTGTCAACCCGTGCTGGCAGACTCTTGTCAACCCGTGCCGGCAGACTCTTGTCAACCCGTGCCGGCAGACTCTTGTCAACCCGTGCCGGCAGACTCTTGTCAACCCGTGCCGGCAGACTCTTGTCAACCCGTGCCGGCAGACTCTTGTCAACCCGTGCCGGCAGACTCTTGTCAACCCGTGCCGGCAGACTCTTGTCAACCCGTGCTGGCAGACTCTTGTCAACCCGTGCCGGCAGACTCTTGTCAACCCGTGCCGGCAGACTCTTGTCAACCCGTGCCGGCAGACTCTTGTCAACCCGTGCCGGCAGACTCTTGTCAACCCGTGCCGGCAGACTCTTGTCAACCCGTGCCGGCAGACTCTTGTCAACCCGTGCTGGCAGACTCTTGTCAACCCGTGCCGGCAGACTCTTGTCAACCCGTGCTGGCAGACTCTTGTCAACCCGTGCCGGCAGACTCTTGTCAACCCGTGCCGGCAGACTCTTGTCAACCCGTGCCGGCAGACTCTTGTCAACCCGTGCCGGCAGTCTCTTGTCAACCCGTGCCGGCAGACTCTTGTCAACCCGTGCCAACGTTGTTTAGGGGTCGTTACCTGTCAACGACCTGGTTATAAAGAGTTGATAACCTCCTTTAGGATCTCTGTACTAATAGGTACCTCTGCCTCGTAAGGTCTATCACCTGCTCTTACTCATGACTCTTGCTGCTCTCACTCATGACTCTTGCTGCTCTTACTCATGACTCTTGCTGCTCTTACTCATGACTCTTGCTGCTCTTACTCATGACTCTTGCTGCTCTTACTCATGACTCTTGCTGCTCTTACTCATGACTCTTGCTGCTCTTACTCATGACTCTTGCTGCTCTTACTCATGACTCTTGCTGCTCTCACTCATGACTCTTGCTGCTCTTACTCATGACTCTTGCTGCTCTCACTCATGACTCTTGCTGCTCTTACTCATGACTCTTGCTGCTCTTACTCATGAATCTTGCTTTACGTCATATGTTTAATAAATGTGTCTTGTGATAGGTTGGTGAGAGAGGCGCCCTGGCCGGGGCGCGGAGCCGCTTGGGCGTCTTCCTGGACGACGAGATCTCCGCCTGGGCCTTCTTCACCTCCGTGGCTGATGGCACCTTCGCTCTTGTTGGTAATACTGAACCACCACCACCACCTTCATGTTGTTGGTTACACTGAACCACCACCACCACCTTCATGTTGTTGGTAACACTGAACCACCACCACCACCTTCATGTTGTTGGTAACACTGAACCACCACCACCTTCATGTTGTTGGTAATACTGAACCACCACCACCACCTTCATGTTGTTGGTAATACTGAACCACCACCACCTTCATGTTGTTGGTAATACTGAACCACCACCACCACATTCATGTTGTTGGTAATACTGAACCACCACCACCACCTTCATGTTGTTGGTAATACTGAACCACCACCACCTTCATGTTGTTGGTAATACTGAACCACCACCACCTTCATGTTGTTGGTAATACTGAACCACCACCACCACCTCCATATTGTTGGTAATACTGAACCACCACCACCACCTTCATGTTGTTGGTAACACTGAACCACCACCACCACCTTCATGTTGTTGGTAATACTGAACCACCACCACCACCTTCATGTTGTTGGTAATACTGAACCACCACCACCACCTTCATGTTGTTGGTAATACTGAACCACCACCACCACCTTCATGTTGTTGGTAATACTGAACCACCACCACCACCTTCATGTTGTTGGTAATACTGAACCACCACCACCACCTTCATGTTGTTGGTAATAATGAACCACCACCACCACCTTCATGTTGTTGGTAATACTGAACCACCACCACCACCTTCATGTTGTTGGTAACACTGAACCACCACCACCACCTTCATGTTGTTGGTAATACTGAACCACCACCACCTTCATGTTGTTGGTATGTTGGTAATACTGAACCACCACCACCACCTTCATGTTGTTGGTAACACTGAACCACCACCACCACCTTCATGTTGTTGGTAATACTGAACCACCACCACCTTCATGTTGTTGGTAATACTGAACCACCACCACCTTCGTCTTGTTGGTAATACTGAATCACCACTACTCCCACTACCACTACCACTACCTCCCACTCACTAACAACACTCCCACTCCCACCACTCCCAATACTGCCACTCCCACTACTGCCACTCCCACTACTGCCACTCCCAATACTGCCACTCCGAATACTGCCACTCCCACTACTGCCACTCCCACTACTGCCACTCCCAATACTGCCACTCCCACTACTTCCACTCCCACTACTGCCACTCCCACTACTGCAACTCCCACTACTGCAACTCCCACTACTGCAACTCCCACTACTGTCACTCCCACTACTATCACTCCCACTACTGCCACTCCCACAACTGCCACTCCCACTACTGTCACTCCCACTACTGTCACTCCCACTACTGTCACTCCCACTACTGCCACTCCCACTATTACAACTCCCAATACTGCCACTCCCACTACAACCACTCCTAATACTGTCACTCCTAATACTGCCACTCCCACTACTGCCACTCTCAATGCTGCCACTCCCAATACTGCCACTCCCAATGCTGTCTCTCACACTACTGCCACTCCCACTACTGCCACTCCCACTACTGCCACTCCCACTACTGCCACTCCCACTACTGCCACTCCCAATACTGCAACTCCCACTACTGCCACTCCCACTACTGCCACTCCCACTACTGCCACTCCCAATACTGCAACTCCCACTACTGCCACTCCCAATAATGCTACTCAAACTACTTCTACTCAAACTACTGTCACTTCCACTACTGCCTCTCTCACTAGTGCCACTCACACTTCTGCCACTCCCTCCACTGTCACTCCCACTACTGCCACTCCCATTACTGCCACTCTCAATCCTGCCACTCCCACTACTGTCATTCCCACATTTGCCACTCCCAATACTTCCACTCAGACTACTGCCACTCCCACTAATGCCACTCCCACTACTGCCACTCCCACTACTGCCACTCCCACTACTGCCACTCCCACTACTGCCACTCCCACTACTGCCACTCCTACTACTGCCACTCCCACAACTTCTACTTACACTACTTCCACTCCCAATACTACCTCTCCCACAACTTCAACTCCCACTACTGCAACTCCCACTACTGCCACTCCCAATACTGCCACTCCCACTACTGCCACTCCCACTACTGCCACTGCCAATACTGCCACTCAAACTACTTCCACTAACACTACTGCCACTCCTTCTACCGCCACTCCCACTACTGCCACTCCCAATGCTGCTACTCCCACTACTGTTACTCCCAATACTGTTACTCCCACTACTGCCACTCTTACTACTTCCATTCTAACTATAGCCACTCTACTACTTTCAATCCCACTACTGCCACTCCCAATACTGCCACTTCCACTACCGCAACTCCCACTACTGCCACTCTCAATACTGCCACTGTAACACCCATGACCTCCCCCTCCTTAGAGTTCACACCCAGGGAATCCTTCTCCAAGAGGTCAGCCCAGATGACCTCCGGATTATCTTGCATGTTGATTAAAAATTCCTGGGTTAGTCTTAGTCAGCATAGTTTCAAGTATGTAATATATCATGATACTCTTGTCAAATATTGCAATGGAATTAGACTCCAGATTCTTATGTGTAAACATCCATGGATCTCCCCCTTTTGGCCAGGTCAGAGGTCAGTCACACACATAATTAATAACTCCTCTCTTGAAGAGTGTATGGTAAATGTCAAACAAGTTTAATGAAAATTCTTGAGTGTTTGTACACGTGAGGCCGATCTCTTACATTCTTGGGATAGGTAGCAACAGTTAATCTCCCCTCCCCCCTTTTGGGGTATATATATTGGTCCTGTAGAGATTTAGGAGGGGAGGGCGGGACACCAGGATCGAGAGCGGGTCTGTGAAGAACATCTCAGCCAGGGAGAGACAGAGGTCTTAAGGTAATGTGTGTGATCTCTGAGGTTTTGTTCCATGTCCAAATTTCTTAAATTTTTGCCAGTGTTAGAGTAGGATTTATAAGTGGTGATTGACATAATTTTGGTCTCAATAAACTCATGTTAAATTTCCCGTCTGTGTCAATTGTTGAATCCTCTTAGTCTTTTGGATATAGTGTTTTGGAGTCTTGCGCGCGCGGTCATAACTCTCGTCCACTCATTAAGGGTACTGTCAATGCCCCCTCATCTTTCTGCAGACGCTCCGCGCGGTGTATATTGTGTTTACAGCGAGTGTGCGTTTGTTGTGATTTACATTTTAATGTTCATTCGTTACACAGGACATGGTGTTAAAATTACAAGTTAATATGACGCTCGGTGACAAAGTTACGGAGCAGGAGTCGTGACAGCAGGGCAGAGAGTGTGACGTCAACGATGTCTTGCCACAGAAGTAGCCAACCACTTGGGCTGGACGGTAGAGCGACGGTCTTGCATCAAGCAGGTCGGCGTTCAAACCCCGACCGTCCAAGTGGTTGGATACCATTCCTATCCCCTCCGTCCCGTCCCAAATCCTTATCCTGATCGCTTCCAAGTGCTATATAGTCGTAATGGCTTGGCGCTTTCCTCTGATAGTTCCCTTGCCACAGAAGTAAGCAGGTGCAGGTGTCGAGTCGTGGGCTGACAACCGTCCCATAATTAATGACAGTCATAGAAAGTACTCTCAAAGTCAAGCAATGTTTCTTGCCTCGTTACTTGATATAGTCTCAATGGTCAAGACAGATGGTGGCAGCGTATTTAATCCTTGTGTAGCATTTCCTTGTTTTGCAGTGTATCTTTGGTTCCGGTGTAACCATCATATGTCAGCTCATATTACAGTGTTCAATAACAGTGTTACCAAGTGCACCGATAGGAAGTACTACTCAGGATAAGTAGTGTTTACATTATTAGTTAAGTGCCCATTATAGTGGTGTTCCATTATAGTGGTGTTACATTAGAGCGGTGTTACACCACTCCCACTACTGCCACTCCCACTACTGCCACTCCCACTACTTCCACTCCCATTACTGCACCTCCCAAACCTGCCACTCCCAATTCTATCACTCCTAATACTGCCACTCCCAATTCTGCCGCTCCCAATACTGCCACTCCCTCTATCGCCACTCCCAATACAGCCACTCTAACTACTTCAACTCCCACTACTGCCACTACCAATACTGTCACTCACATTACTGTCACTCCCACTTTTGCCACTCCCATTACTACCACTCCCACTACCGCCACTCCCAATACTGCTACTCCAACTACTGCCACTTCCAATACTGCCACTTCTACTACTGCCTCTCCCACTACTTCCACTCCCACTATTGCCACTCCTAATATTGCCTTTCCAAATACTGAAAACTCCCACTAATGCTACCACTCCCAATACTGCCACTCCCAATACTGCCACTCCCAATACTGCCACTCCCACTACTGCCACTCCCAATGCTACCACTCCCAATACTGCCACTCCCAATACTGCCACTCCCAATACTGCCACTCCCAATACTGCCACTCCCACTACTGCCACTCCCAATGCTACCACTCCCAATACTGCCACTCCCAATGCTGCCACTCTCACTACTGCCACTCCAAATACTGCCTCTCACACTACTGACACTTCCAATACTGCCACTCCCTATACTGCCAATTCAACTACTGCCACTCCCAATACTGCCACTCCAAATACTGCCACTCCAAATACTGCCACTCCAACTACTGCCACTCCAAATACTGCCACTCCCAATACTGCCACTCCCAATTCTGTCACTCCAAATACTGCCACTCCCAATAAAGCAACTCCCAATACTGCCACCCGCAATACTGCCACTCCCAATACTGTCACTACCAATACTGCCACCCCCAATACTGCCACTCCCAATACTGCCACTCCCAATACTGCCAATTCAACTACTGCCACTCCCAATACTGCCACTCCAAATACTGCCACTCCAAATACTGCTATTCCCAATACTGCCACTCCCACGACCGCAACTTCCAATACTGCCACTCCCAATACTGTCACTCCCAACTCTGCCACTTCCAATACTGCCACTCCCAATACTGCCACTCAAACTACTTCCACTCCCACTACTGCCACTCCGAATACTGACTCTCCCAATACTACCACTCCCACTTCTGCCACTCCCAATTCTAACACTCCCAATACTGCCACTCCCTATACTGCCACTCACACTACTGCCACTCGCACTACTGCCTTCCCCAAATACTACCACTGCCCTCCCAATACTGCCACTCCCAATACTGCCACTCCCAATACTGCCAATTCAACTAATGCCACTCCCAATACTGCCACTCCAAATACTGCCACTCCAAATACTGCCACTCCAAATACTGCCACTCCAAATACTGCCACTCCAAATACTGCTATTCCCAATACTGCCACTCCCATTACTGCCACTCACAATACTGCCACTCCCAATACTGCCAATTTAACTAATGCCACTCCCAATACTGCCACTCCAAATACTGCCACTCCAAATACTGCCACTCCAAATACTGCTATTCCCAATACTGCCACTCCCACTGCTGCCACTCCCAATACTGTCACTCCCAACTCTGCCACTCCCAATACTGCCACTCCCAATACTGCCACTCAAACTACTTTCACTGCCACTACTGCCACTCCCATTACTGCCACTCCCAATACTGTCACTCCCAACTCTGCCACTCCCAATACTGCCACTCCCAATACTGCCACTCAAACTACTTCCACTGCCACTACTGCCACTCCGAATACTGTCACTCCCAATACTGCCACTCCCACTTCTGCCACTCCCAATTCTAACACTCCCAATACTGCCACTCCCAATACTGCCACTCCCAATACTGCCACTCACAATACTGCCACTCCCAAATACTGCCACTCCCACTACCATAACTCCCACTAATACCACTCCCAATACTGCCACTTCAACTACAACCACTTCCAATACTCCCACTCCTAGTAATGCAAATCCGAATGCTGTCACTCCCACTACTGCCACTCTCAATCCTGCCACTCCCACTACTGCCACTCCCACTTCTGCCACTCCCAATACTGTCACTACCAATACTGCCACTCAAACTACTTCCACTCCCACTACTGTAACTCCCAATACTGCCACTCTCTCTACTGTCACTCCCAATACTCCCACTCCCAATTCTGCCACTTCCACTATTGCCACTCCCAATACTGCCACTCCCACTACAGCCTCTTTCACTAGTGCCACTCACACTTCTGCCACTCCCTCCACTGCCACTTCCACTACTACCTCTCCCAATACTGTCACTCCCAATACTGCCACTCCTAATACTTCCACTCCCAATACTGTCACTCCCAATACTGCCACTCCCAATACTGCCACTCCAAATACTGCCACTCACACTACTGCCACTCCTAATACTGCCACTCACACTACTGTCTCTCCCACTACTGCAACTGCCTCTACTGCCACTCCCACTACTTCCACTCCCGCTACCACCACTCCCAATAGTCCAACTCCCGCTCCTGCCACTCTCAATACCGCCGCTCCCACTACTGCCACTCCCAATACTGCTACTCCCAATACTTTCACTCACAATTCTGCCACTCCCACTACTGACACTCCCAATACTGCCACTCAAACAACTTCCACTCCCACTACTGTAACTCCCAATACTGCCACTCTCTCTACTGTCACTCCCAATACTGCCACTCACACTACTGCCACTCACACTACTGCCACTCCCAATACTGCCACTCAAACTACTTCCACTCCCACTACTGCCACTCCCAATACTGCTACTCCCAATACTGCCACTCCCAATACTGTAACTCCCAATTCTGCCACTCCCACTACGGTCACTCCCAATACTGCCACTCAAACTACTTCCACTCCCACTACTGTAACTCCCAATACTGTCACTCCCAATACTGCCACTCTCACTTCTGCCACTCCCAATACTAACACTCCCACTACTGCTACACCCAATACTGCCACTCTCTCTACTGTCACTCCCAATAGTGCCACTCCCAATACTTCCACTCCCACTACTGCCTCTTCCACTACTGCCACTCACACTACTGCTATTCCCTCTACTGCCACTCCCAATACTGCCACTCTTAATACTGTTACTCCCTCTACTGCCACTCCCAATACTGCCACTCCCAAAACTGCCACTCCCAATGCTGCCACTCCCAATACTGCCACTCCTAATACCGCCACTCCCAATACTGCCACTCCCAATACTGCCACTCCCAATACTGCCACTCCCAATACTGCCACTCCCAATACTGCCACTCCCACTACTGCCACTCCCACTACTGTCACTCCCACTACCACCACTTAAAATACTGCCACTCCCACTACTGCCACTCCCACTACTGTCACTTCAACTACCGTAACTCCCACTACTGCCACTCCCACTACCGCCACTTCCAATGCTACCACTCTCACTGCCACCACTTAAAATACTGCTACTCCCACTACCGACACTCCAAATAGCGCCACTCCCACTACTGTCACTCCGACTACCGTAACTCCCGCTACTGCCACTCCCACTACTGCCACTCCCATGTCTGCTACTCCCACTACTGCCACTCCCAATACTGCCACTTACACTACTGCCACTCCCAATACTGTCACTTCCAATACTGCCACTCCCACTTCTGCCACTCCCAATATTACCACTCCCACTACTGCCACTCCCAATACTGTCACTCCCAATTCTGCCACTCCCACTACTGCCACTCCCAATACTGCCACTCACACTACTGCCACTCCCAATACTGTCACTTCCAATACTGCCACTCCCAATACTGCCACTCACACTACTGCCACTCCCAATACTGTCACTTCCAATACGGCCACTCCCACTTCTGCCACTCCCAATATTACCACTCCCACTACTGCCACTCCCAAATACTGCCACTCCCACTTTCGACACTCCCACTGTCACCACTCCCACTACCGCCACTCCCACTACCACCACTCCCAATACTGCCACTTCAACTACAACCACTCTCAATGCTTCCACTCTCTAATGCCACTCCCAATACTGCCACTCCCACTACTGTCACTCCGACTACCGTAACTCCCGCTGCTGCCACTCCCACTACTGCCACTCCCATGTCTGCTACTCCCACTACTGCCACTCCCAATACTGCCACTCCCACTACTGCCACTCCCAGTGCTACCACTCCCAATACTGCCACTCCCAATACTGCCACTCTCACTACTGCCACTCCAAATACTGCCTCTCACAATACTGCCTCTCACACTACTGACACTTCCAATACTGCCACTCCCTATACTGCCAATTCAACTACTGCCACTCCCAATACTGCCACCCCAAATACTGCCACTCCAAATACTGCTATTCCCAATACTGCCACTCCCACGACCGCAACTTCCAATAATGCCACTCCCAATACTGTCACTCCCAACTCTGCCACTTCCAATACTGCCACTCCCAATACTGCCACTCAAACTACTTCCACTCCCACTACTGCCACTCCGAATACTGTCTCTCCCAATACTACCACTCCCACTTCTGCCACTCCCAATTCTAACACTCCCAATACTGCCACTCCCTATACTGCCACTCACACTACTGCCACTCGCACTACTGCCTTCCCCAAATACTACCACTGCCCTCCCAATACTGCCACTCCCAATACTGCCACTCACAATACTGCCACTCCCAATACTGCCAATTACACTAATGCCACTCCCAATACTGCCACTCCAAATACTGCCACTCCAAATACTGCCACTCCAAATACTGCTATTCCCAATACTGCCACTCCCACTACTGCCACTCACAATACTGCCACTCCCAATACTGCCAATTCAACTAATGCCACTCCCAATGCTGCCACTCCAAATACTGCCACTCCAAATACTGCCACTCCAAATACTGCTATTCCCAATACTGCCACTCCCACTGCTGCCACTCCCAATACTGTCACTCCCAACTCTGCCACTCCCAATACTGTCACTCCCAATACTGCCACTCAAACTACTTCCACTGCCACTACTGCCACTCCGAATACTGTCACTCGCAATACTGCCACTCCCACTTCTACCACTCCCAATTCTAACACTCCCAATACTGCCACTCCCAATACTGCCACTCCCAATACTGCCACTCACAATACTGCCACTCACAAATACTGCCACTCCCACTACCATATCTCCCACTAATACCACTCCCAATACTGCCACTTCAACTACAACCACTTCCAATACTGCCACTCCTAGTAATGCAAATCCGAATGCTGTCACTCCCACTACTGCCACTCTCAATCCTGCCACTCCCACTACTGCCACTCCCACTTCTGCCACTCCCAATACTGTCACTACCAATACTGCCACTCTCTCTACTGTC